TTGTGCGCCAGGCCTGAGGTTTTTCCGTTACATTAAAAAGTGTAGTGAGTCACATGTTTTTCACATTGTAAACCCCTCTGTATGTTATGTAGAGATAAGTGTGTGACCTTGATGATATAAACTTAACTCAAAATGTTCTGTCCTTCTACAAAACTGATATCAAAACATTGAAAATATGTTATACTGATTCAATCCAATTTCTTTACTTATAAAATCGCTTCACTAAATAATACAGCTCTCAGCATGACTCAGTTTATAAACACAACTGCTCCCTTCTGTTAGATTTGGTCATGAGACATTTTGGAGCTCATTGTGGGAAGTAAAACTCACTTCTGCAATATTTTGCAACTTAATTCATCAACTCACTTGAACACATTTGCTTGGTCTTTAAAACGTCTCAGTTTTACTCTTGTGTGTCGTCTAAAAGAAATAGTTGAAAAATACATTCTGTGTCGAGAACATTGTTACCACTGTCATGTCTACTTTGTAAGAAGCTACTGCCAGTTACCTCTGTAGCTTAGTATACATGTAAATTTATAGATGAACATGTCAGATGTTGCATGTTTACACTGATTGCTTATTACTGGTCAGATTGTATTACCTTTAGACAGAGCCAGGCTTGCTAATTCCAATTTCAAAGCTGACATCTCCTTTCTGTAGCCTCGTATTTACAGACATTTTAGTAAAAAAGTTTATTTTCCGCCAGATATAGATGCTTATGGTGAATATCACATCAGCATGTCCCTATTTCCTTTGTGTGTGTGTGTGTGTGTGTGTGTGTGTGTGTGTGTGTGTCTTTGTACGTACCCAGGAGTGTCTGTTGCAGTGCAGCATGTGGACAGGGAGCAGCTGGGATTGTTAGAGACAGATTGTGTGTGCATGTGTCTGAATGTATGTGTCTGTGAGTTTGTTTTATGCGTTGCTTCGCCTTATGTTGTGTGTGTGGGGGGGGGGGTCAGCAGGTTTGTCATGCAGTGGAGCTGGTGGCGTCTCCTGGGGTCTTTTTGCAGCAGGGCAACACGACAGACCCTGATCTCTGCAGCAGCGAACAGATGGCTGAGCTTGTTGGCATGCCTGTACTGTGCCAGGGGTCAGAGGGGGTCAGGAGATATAGCGTTCCTCCAAATGAGCACCCTAACCTGCACAACAGCAAACACTGTCGAGTCAAAGCTTGACATCTTACCTGCAACACATTCCACAAGACATTTTTCATGGAGATTTCTCATAAATATAACTGGAGACAGAAATGTTGCCGCACAGTTAGCTCAGCCCCAGTGATCAAAAGCAAATGTAAACATAGCATCTGTTGCAGAAACCCGGGTCTCACTGTGCACCAGACCTCTGGGTGTTATTTGTCATTCCTGCATGAGAGGACAGATTTGTTGTGGAGCGCAGTTTGTGTCAAGCTTCTCAATCATCATTTTTGATGAGGGAACCTGAAGAAGAGTGAAATACATTGTTTAACCATATTATGTCCAGTAACTGATATTCTACATTATTCTACATTAGTCAGCCACTCTACCAGCACCCTATGGAAGAAATTGGAGTAAATAATGGTGTAAACTTGTTTGGCCATTCCAATAACCCTTGAGCAGTTGAATGAAAACATGTAGGGCTGCACTAATGAATATTTTCTTAACGGACTGAGCCATGTGTATGAAAGGGGTCCCTCTTTCCCTTTAGCTCTATAGCATTTTAGCCTCTTCAGCTCACTGTTTTTATGATCTTGTCTCCCAAACATGCCATGGTTCCAGATGCAATCAGCATCCAGTGCAGGGTCAAATGTTGAACATGTCCAGAAAGAAAAACAGAAATGTAGACTCTTCTATTGGAAATGGGAAACAGTCAGTTGCCTATTTTTGAGGTTCACCCACATTTAAAAAATTGTGCATTCCTGCTAATTTTGGTGTAAAAAGGAACCGAAAACAAAGCAAAAAGAGACTGATGTACCTCACAGACAGAGCAGGTCATTACAATAAAAATGTCATGCAGTAATCAATACTATATGCCCTTTTAGTATTATTACCACCACTGATGTCTTTATAATGACATACGGTGAAAGTATATTGATTGTTGTCACAAGTCTGTGTACTGGAAAGTTTTCATAATCATTCCCCACGAATGTAATCAGAACCTTTGTTCTGCATCATAAACCTTTTCTTATGTTCACTTAGACTGCAGCATGTCTTCCTGAATCAAGCTAAAGGTTTAGAGGCAAAAACAAAAATATCCAAAAGCCGCCAACGCTGCTGTTTTCTGTGCACGTCTTCTCTGGAACGCAGATAAATCACAGCGATACTGTAGCGCTCTAATGAGTTTATTCACACTCCAGCAGGCAGGAAACTTTGAGGGCATATTGCCATTTTTATGCTCCCTGGGAAGAGCCCGGCGGCGGATCATGCTGATGATGAATGCGGGTGATAGAAGTGGCTGAGACCTGCGAGGAAGAAGATTCAGAGGGAGAGATAAATAGAATATGAAAACTCTGCATGCTGGACACAGAAAGAAGCAATGCTGAGTTTAATGGGACAATGACATTTTCACTCATAGTAACACTGACAGAATACAACACAAGAGGGATCCAAACATTAATCAATAGATCAATATTTCATCCCTTTCATTCAGCTCTCATAGACTTCCCTGTAGAGCCCTTTCATCTTCACAGCCCTGTTTCTGGGGTCAATCTTCTTTTCTTCTCTCTAGTGGGTAAGTAAAGAAATATCTCTGGGCTTCGAAACACTGGAAATGGCACTGATGCTGCTGAACCGCTGTAAGGCTTTCTGAATGGTACTTTCTAGCCTTGGTCATTTGTTTGGGAATTAATGGGCGCAGGGTGAGAGTTGCTAAAGACCACTAAGCTTCATAAAGCACAAAGCGACGGGCAGAACTCAGACCTGTGAGGGGAAACACAAGTGATGAAAACAGAAAAGCAGATTGATAGTTGGACTCAGGCCCTTGAACGACACAAATCTGCTGCTGGGGGAAAAAGAATTGGCCGCAGGGAGCTGGTTTACCAAGCCGTGCAAACAGAAAGATGATTTTGTCAGTTTGCTCCAATATCAGACAAATATCTCATTTGTCCTCTCACAAATCATTATGAGGCGATTGAAGCTCTGCTATTTCCTCCGACTGTCTTTCCAACAATCTGCTGAACGCAGCTATTTGTTGCAGATAGTCAGGGCAATTTCCAATATGATGCTACGCATGAGATACACGAGGGCTTCTTATATTGTGAGTGTGTTGTAGAACACAGAAAACTGTGACATGTAATGAAAACAAAAGTTTTGAGGTGCTGCTCTAACTTTTTGGGTTTCCAAAAGCAGCAGTTTCTTAATTTCAGCTTTCAATTATTTTATCCATGTTTATTTGACACAGAAAATACTGTATATCAGTGCATTTTAGAGGTGTGGACTTGGATTAGAATCAATTATTGGGAGACATCAGACTTGGTCTGACAAAAAAACAAACTTGAAATTATCTTCAACTACGATAACCTGTGACATCACTCAGACTTCTTGATTTGAAATCATGGGGTTCCCTCTGAAAGGAAAGGATGAACAAGACATGACCACTTCATTAAAGGTCATCAAAGTTCTGACCTGATAATGGGGTTAGGTGAAAAATCAGAGGGTCGTAAGGTTCATCGGAAAATGATTCAATATTGATCTTGAATATCTTCAGAGAGATTCACAACAATCCATCCAATATATAAAACCCTAGATTTCAACCTCAGAATCACCAAAGGATTTAATCCTCTGGGAACCAGCTAGTTGAGACATTTCCGTCTGGCACAAAATGACGAACTGAAGATTTTCATCAATTGATCTTTACTGCTACAATATTTTTAGAAAAAAAAGGGTTCTGCAAACCAATGCCTCTTTTCCCTGATATAACAGAAATCCTCAGATGGATTTCCAATCACACTGCTTGAGGAGGAGAGGAAGGAGGTAGAGTAGAGAAGCAGACAGAGGAAAGACTTGAGGCTTTATTGTCTCAAAAGCATTCATCATATATAACAAAATTTCCCTCATGTTGTCTTCCAAAAACAAACTAAGATCTGTACCACAAATAACTACAATCACGGTTTCATCTAAAAAGGCAACATTTTTTCTGCTCACTGTCAAATCCCACAATGTTTCCCTCCCCAGCTGTGTTTGCTCAGTAAAACACTTTACAAGGTGTTTGGAGGAACTTTTCTGCCTCTTTCAGAAAAAGAAAACCTCTCTCCATTGATTTCTTGTTACTCTGTGACCAAAATAGAGCAGCACTCTGACTCCCCTGTGTGTGCTGAGCTATTGTCGACAAGCCGGCAGCCGGAAGCAGGCTGAGAGCGGAGTAGAAGGGAGCTGACAGTGTGCAGAGTCTGTGCGGGCCTCTCATGACAGTCGCTCCGAGACGAGGGGGCCAAGTAAACAACGAGCGAGCGAGGAAAGCACGGAGCCATGCCTTGAGCCAGGAGAGAGGGAGAGCTCGGGAATACGATGGCAAAGGGTACAGAGGCTTCTGGAGAGGGTAATGAGTTTGGCCAGGTTCCCATAATGTGCTGCACGACACAGAGAGAGAGAGCGAGAGAGAGATGCTTCTAGTTGTTGCATTTTGGATAAATATGTCCCCGTTCCCTCATCCTTTGTGTCGAGAAAAGAGGTCTATTGTTTTTACAGCATCACACAAACCAAAATCCAATAACATGCGGTGGCTTTCGATTCTGCAGCAGAGAAACAACCACATGCCTGCTGATTATTGTCAGTATTGAATTCTGAATCTCAAGGTTATGATATTTAAGCTCGAGGTACATGACCCATCACCCAATTTCAAGTAGGAATGAAGAGAGATGAAGAGGAATTATTCATATTGACCGTATTCACAGATCAATATTCATTTATATTTCTGGTGCATCTGGGGGAAGTGGCTCCAGCAGTGACCCTTTCTTTCCTCTTTTCTCTCTTTTTTATATTCTGCCCTCTTTCCTTCCTTCCTGCTTCTGCACTTGACTCTCACAGAAGGTCTCTACCAGCTGGGTGGCCGGCACTGTGCCCCTCAGAGCAGCGTTGAAGGACTGGAGGACACAGAGGTAGGATCATTATGAAGAGCCTCTCAGTGTTTTCACCAGTGGCCAAGAACGAGTAGACGTTCCCCATTATTTGTCTTCTTCTGCAGCCCATCTTATTCCTTAAAATGTTTCCTCCCCTTCCTTTTAGTCCCTTCTTTAGACTGCTTCTCTTTCAACTCTAATTTAACCCTTTTTGCAGAGGAAGTGTAAGACCCATGTGCTGCTGCTCGTGGTGCACGGGGGAAACATCTTGGACACGGCAGGTGGAGACCCCAGCACGAAGGCCGGTGATGTGGCCACTTTGGCGTCAGTGCTGGAGAAGGTGGCGCGGGCGCATTTTCAGGCTGCTGCAGAACACGTGATGATCAAGCTGGTGCCATGTCCGGCCGTGTGCGCTGATGCCTTCTCCCTGGTGTCCAAGTGAGTGCCTTTGCCGAAACACGGATATAATCCTGATGTGGTTTAATATACTTATATCCTGTTTAAATAAGTTGACAAGGGTCGAGGTCTGACAATGACGCATATACTTCGTCTTTTATAGTCACTAGATCTCAATCAGATTAAACAGCTGCAGGATATTTTGTATACTCATGTCTTGCAGCATCATCAAAACACCAAATAAAATGATATCTTTGATGATCTCTCCAATACGATTTACAGAGACTTGAACAATCTGCATCAATGAATGATCGCTTTGTCCCAAAACCTTACTGTGCAATATAAGAATCAGCTTTTAGAGACCCAGACTGTTTCAGTGCATCCAGAATAATGGAATCTGTTTTTATACAATTTACAAAGTATAACAGACTTTGCATTAAATACATGTATTCATCCTTATTATTAAAGGCCCAGTGCATAAGATTTAGGTGAAAGGGATCCATTAGCACAAATTGAATATAAAATAATCCTTATGATGTTTTCACTAGTGTGTTTCATCTAAATTGTACGAATTGTTGTTTCTTTACCCTAGGGGGCTCTTTGAATTTAAATACTTTATATTTACATCGGGGGGGTCCTCTCTATGGAGGCCGCCATGTTTTTTACAGCAGCCCAGACTGGACAAACTAAACACCTTTTGAGTTTCTATGACAACTGAAGGCTACCACAGGTTCTCTGTCATGTTTGGAAGGAGAGGGTCAGTTGAGGGGTATTCAGCTGCAACAGGCAATTTCACCACTAGATGTCACTAAATTCTACACACTGTACCTTTAAACCGTGCTCCTTCTTGTGTTTTTTTTGTGGGAACATGATGTTCAGTCGAGGCACTGACATCCATACAAAGTGTGATGACAAGTACCCATACTTGTAAGAACAGGTGTGAATGCAGTGAGGATGCATTTGAGGTCCGATCACTCTGAAGTGATAGGATACACTTCGGGTTGATTCCATGACTTTTCCTGAAAGTTACTTCTCCCTTTTCTGAAAGTTCTTGTAGCTAGGGTTTGTGAGAACCTAGCCCGTCACAAGTTAAATGAAATAATTTGAATATACTTCGGACTCCCTCCATCAGGCTGGAGGATCAGATGCAGTAATAAACTTAGTTAGCTCATCATTACCTGAGATAATTGGAAGTTACAGAGGAGAAGATGATGATATGAAGAAGAGACGTGCAATAATATACACTTACATTTTCAAAAGCAAAAGTGATTTGTAACAATGCTCAACAATCTGGACAAACTTGATGATGATGAGGTTTTGACTGATAAACTCTTCATCAAAATAGGAATGTATTTTATATGAAGATTTGAACTAAGCTGTTGTTGACAGCTGTTTCTTGAGACGACAGCAACTGCAGCTGGCATAAACTACCAGGCATTTCCAGATGTTTAATTGGTACCATGTGTTTTATTGTGTTGATAGCATAAAAATTAGTAAACAAATGCTGCCATGCTGCAATAACTGCTAACTTTTCTCAGTTCTACACCAACAGAGCAACTGTAACTCCTGACAAATTCCTAAAATGAGAAAAAATTACCATTCAACTTGTATTCATTCCTCCAACCTCTTCTTCCTCCTTTTTGACTTTAATTACAGATTAGGTGCCAATTATCTTCATTAATAACCTATTGATCCACACAGCAACGTGCACGGCCCATGAGCAAGACATTATTATGCTCATGGTGCTGCTTCTGTATGACAACATCCATTGAAATCACTGCGGCTGCCCTCTTCTTGATGCTTTAATGAAACAATGAGAAAGATGGATGTCTCAGACGTCTCAGTGCTTATTTCCACAGGCTGCTTGCTAAAGAAGTAACTCCTGGGAAGAGTTGAGACATCGCGAGCGTCAGGAGATTGATGCATTTACACCTTTTAACTTTGCGAGTTGAACGAGACACACGTCAAGTAAATTGTCCCTCTCTGATCTTTGAGGGAGTTCTCGAAGAATCGTAGAGTCTGCTCGGATACCAAATCCCCCCTCTGCTACCAAACAGACATCGGAATCCAAGTTAAATCCACAATACTGAGAGCTTAGCACATGTGGGAGGAAGCTGCAGTGATTAAATAAACATATGAGCAGAGAAAGAATGAGAAGAGTCGGATTGTATTAGCTGTGCTCTAAACCTGCATGGATTTGAATTACAAGTCAGCTGATGAATGATCGAGAGATATTTAACTCAATTGACATCATCACATTCCCCTAGATGACTAAGAGCAATGAACAGTCTGCGCTGCACTAATATGTTAAAGGAGGCATTTCAACAATCTGCCCAGTATGAATGCACGTCTGAGGGAATTAGCATGGAGGCCTAAATGCCTGGTTGGCCAAGGTGATGAAGGTTAATTGAGAAAATATATTGACCAAAGACCCCAAAACAGACAGTGCTATGTTAATTAGTATGCAGATGACATTTTCAGCCTCGTGGTCGTGTGGACTATTAAACTCCTCACATTTTAACTAGTGTTGCATGTTATTGTGAAGCCTCCTCCTCTGAGGTATGGAGGTGGCACTTCTGCAAGGAACGCGTGCAATGATCTGTTTGTCTAATTAGCCACAGTGACTGTGTTCCGGTTTCATTTGTGGTATTGGTTTCAGAGGGAATGGAAGTTAATTGCTGATATGGTGGTAGTAGCTCAGTGATGATTAGCAGTCAGTCGACAAGTCTTCCCCACATGGAAGATTATATGGTATTTTCAGCATTAAAACTCACAGGTCTCGCTCGTTGCAGGTGTAGTTGCAGAGTAATAACGTCCTTGGCTGGAGGATGTTTTTCAGACACATGCAGGAGGTAAAAACACAAGTCTGTGTCCACGCATTTGCTCGTTTTTTTTCTTGTCTGCTGTCTGCTCAGTGAGCTGCTCAATCGAAACTAATGATTTCATTTCACATTTAATGTCACACGTCCCACTGGTCACCAGTTTTATCTCTGACAGCGTCACTTAGTTGTCGCCACTCTCCAATTATATGCTGAGGATGTTTCTGTTTGAATTGTCACTAATCACCGTGGCTGAGAGAATGCGTTCGGCAGTCGTCGAGGCCTCTGTCCGCTCCCGTGACTGGCGTTTGCGGCAGTGAGGCAGTGACAGGAAGCGCAATGAGTGGAAAGAGATTTGTTGTGTCGATGCTCGGCAGCTTGGCGTCTGCTCGGCTTTCACCACATCCACAGATAAAATATTCAAAACAACAACTTCCTTTGGGAGTCTAGCAAAACTCTCAAACGCATGTGGACACATGCACATATGAATTCATGCACAATTTACCTGAAGGCACCATGCATGAAATTTTGCTTGAAATGAGGCACATTCATATTCAAATGTTATGTCACAAAGAACATTAGTAGAAAATAAATGAATTAATGAAATATTAAATATAACTACAAATTTAATGCACAAACCATAAAATTCAGAAACAAGCTAAACTATCTGTGTTTATTTTATGATTATATGTTCGGAAATGTTCTAATTTCAAAATGTGTGAATTAATTGTTCTCCTCAAATTACAGCCCACATACAGCCCATGTTTTCATGGTGTGAAGCATCTCAGTTTGTGATATTTATACAAACATAAGGGTGGAAAATACATTGCATGTTTGAAACTAAATGAGTAACACATTACCTTAAGCAAAACTGGTAAAACTGCTGCTTTTATAAAGAGTAAACATTTACCAAGAGCTAATGTTCATGTATTTGTTGTTGGTGAAGGATTATAACGATACGTTCATTGATGTAAGTGCAAGTGTTTGTCTCTCTTTTATTTTTTCATGTCTATTTATTAATTATTCCTCTACTGACGATTTTTTCACTTCATTTCCTAACTCCTACATGGCATCCTCCTCCAATTCCACTTTTGGCCAGTTACCATTTTCAAAATCCCTTTCGTTCAAAGTAAGAACAACAACCTCCTAGCTTCAAGGTTTTACAAGGTTTTGAAAAAGGTTTGTTCAAAGGAATGTCCAATCTTGCAGTTGACTTACATCCTTTATTGTTGGTGGGATTTTAATGACAGTGATCTTCTCCCCAAGTGAAAATGTTCCACCAAAACAAGTTTCCCCCACAATATTTTTCAAGGGCACCATCGCTACATCCTGAGTTTAGTGCCACCCAAGGCGACTGTGATTGATGAAAGCAACACAAACGAGCCAGAGCAGTTTTTTCACTTATAGTGTAATTGAAAGGGGTGCAGCTGAAGAAAAAAACCTTCTGACAACAGTAGAATTAAATATGTGTTTCAGCTCTCCAGAGAATTTAGATAAAGCATGCTTGTGCACAGATGGCTCCAGGTCCCTGACAATATGTCCAGTCAGTAGCATTCACACACACCCACACAGCAACAAACACAGCACTTATATCAGTTTCCAGTGTTTGCTTTAAAGACAGTGTTACTCGTGGGTGTGTGGAGCCTCATTCATTTGTGAACAGAGGAATAGACAACCACGCTGGCAGGAATCGCTGCCGTATGGGTAATTTACTCCTGTTCTGGGAAAAGGCTTGGCTGAAAATCGCAGCACAGAGTGGAGGTGGCAAAGCCTCTTCGCACTTTGGACTTGTGTCGTGCACAACGTCCCCAGAGAGGATGCGCATGTTTTCCAGCTTGTTTGTTGACCTTGTTGATCATTGTGTTCATGGCCTTTTGTTCTTTGAAGGGCTCTCAGGGCTTATTATTAGCTCTGCCTGCTAATGAACGTACCTGGCGACGTTGGCTCGGAGCGAGTTGTCAAGACAACACACAAACACACGTAAACCATCGACACACTCGCACAAATGCATCCCACACAACACATTTGGAAAACATCACCGAATTTGTATTATTGCAGCATAACATGTTCAGTTAACAGTGAAGTGAAGATTCTGAAACTGATTTCCACTTAGCGTCACCAGGAGACGAGAAATGAACATTTCAACTCTTCAAAAACTTCCTCTGAGCAGCAGTAGAGAAAAATATAATTGATCGAATAGATTCAGTTTGTCATTATACAGGA